AGTCCTTGATATACTGACCTCCACTCAGACCAGTCTCAGAGACTACGGAATTCATTTCTCACAAAGTACAGGAAAGAGGCATGCAAATTTTAAGTGAGAGCCTGCTGAGTTGTCTTAATAGTGAGGTATGACTGGGTCAGACACAAAAAGATGAAGTTGGTTCCATTTTTGTGCTTATTCAAAATAGACACAGGCAGTGAGCAGTCTGTAGCAGCTGTAATTAAGCAGCTTCAGATGGCAAGTAATACAGAGGACGCTAAGGAAGAGCAGGAGGCCTTCAGTTGTTTGAACTTCAGTTCTCCACTAACAGAGAGTATCTCTTAAGTTTGTAACTCTGTCTTTGAAATCTGCTCCAGTGCTGATGGCTTTATGTTCATACGTTGTCCTCTACTAATTCAAGCTTTAGTATTGCCTTAAACTTCAGGTTTGCATTTGCAAAGCACTGCCTATCAAATCAAATTGCGTCTTTTTCAAAATACAGCATCTCTTATTTTTAGAGCAGTTAATATTCATCATGGGAAAGAGTGATGGACTGGGAATCAAGCCTGTGATGGTGTCGGTGTTATAGGTTTCTTGCAATTGTGTAAAGAAAAGCGAAATGCTCCGTGTCTGTTCTTTCCACACAACATCCCCAGTATACACTATAATCATTCTATCCGTATGGTTAAAGTGCTGTCATTTATTTGCATTGTTTTTCTTCAGCCGCTCTGCTGCATCCTCAGCCTTGCATCAGCAGGTCAGCTCTGTAAGTCTAGTCCAGCATTTACTGATGTTATTGCAAAAGGAACAGGAACTTTTCAGCAGGTGCTGCTTCAAGGGCTGTTTTAGCACAACAGCTTTCTTGGAAAGATAGTGATTTATCAATGCATAATCTTTTAACCAATTTGAAATATCTGCATTTTGCAGAGGCAACATTTCCAACTGGTGAGAAATTTTCCCAAATCTGTTTACCGACATTTGCTGTGGTTCTTCTATTGCTCTTGCACATATGCACAGCAAGCAAACTGTGCCCATCACTATGTACAGCTAGTCTACAGTCATCCACATCTGCTCCCTGCTGCTACTCCACAGCTGTCCTGGATGAAGTTAAACGGTTTCTGCCTCCTGTCCAAATGTTCAGTAAAACCAAACCATTTGGAAGCCAAGGAAGCAAAAAGTAAGTTGGATCTTCAGGGCATCACACCACCACCAATGTAACTAGCAGCCATGAAATCACAAGCAGGAAGGTAACCATGACTGTCCCCAGATCAGCTTGAGAACCTTTTCTTTTTCATCAGAACTATTGGCAGGTTAAGAGAGTCCTTTACAATATCTTTGGTAAGGGATTTTACTATTCTAAATAATGTTATCTTACATATCTATTCAATTTAAGTTTAAACTTTTTAAACTTTATCATTTAGTTGCTGTTCATCCTACAAGTACATTTGCAAACTTTAGCATGGATCTTGCATGTCTGCCATGGGATAACGAAAACCGAAGTCTCTTTATTCAAACCTTGAACCGTATTTAAGCAGTTAATATTGAAGACTTACGTTGCTACCTTATTCCCCAGGCCCACTTACTTCCCTCTAAATGAACACAACATCCTCTTAATGGAGGCACTAATCTTCATGACAGCAGCTCTGACCGCTGATCTACTGGCAGCAAATAGATTGGTCACTAGAAAGCAATGAGGACAATTAGTTTCCTGAAGGAGATGTCAATGCCTGGAACCATCTTGAAGGAAGCCACCGTTCACCTCTGAAATACTTTGGCCACTGCTCGCCATTCCGTTCTTGGGACTAGCTATGGGGCAGTCTAAAGGTATAGCATTGCAGCATAGCACACCGGCTATGAATTCTTTACAGTTATGTGGGAAAAACCAAACATCACCCCCCACAGGCATCAGTGCCTTTCTGAAAGGGGAGAAACAGCCTGTGGCCATCTGCTATTAAAATGCAACAGCCTGAGGTCCCTTTAGCTGTAGAAACTCTTGGAAGAGCCAACAGGAGGATGGCACGAGGGTGACCGACTCCCTGCAAGACCCAGGTGCCGTTCACACCATGCGCAGCCAGGTGTGCTTGGAGATCTCCTGTGGCTCCCCATCCTTTCCTCCTCCTAGGTGCCTGCTCAGCCATAGCTGGTCCAGCCACTCCACCTGCAGTGGGCTGACAGGGCTGAGCACAGGCAACTACGTGACTCCCAGGCTGGAGTGCCATCTGCTGCATCACCACCACCGTTGCCTATGGCAATGTGATGACGGTTTGTAGATTTAGCCACAGCATTTGAAACAAAAGCAGCTATACATGAGATATTTTAATTATGTGTTATGTCTAACCACACGTTTAAATGCTTAAACCTAGCAACCGTATCTTCAACTGCCCCTGAAGGAGTAAAATCAGCTGTAAGTCAAGAACTCATTCAAAAAAAGAAAGATTTAACCCATTTTTGTCTAAATTGAGGGGATAGCATACATTTTCTAACTAGCGATGTGCAGAATACTGACAGACACAGCACCTGTGGGTCTGTGACAATTAAGGGAAACAACAGAATTTCAAAGGGAAGCCCATGAATTCTGCTTTTTATCTCAGGACTACCATGTGCTATTCTATAAAAGCAAAAGCTTTAAGCGCCTCCACCTGGATCATTGATACTATGACTATTAACACCGAAAGGACACAAGCATTTCTCAGGTGACTGGAAGTGTGCTGCCTGCACAGTGTTTCAGCTGGCTTTTGTTCAACAGAAATGTTGCATCTTGTCCAGGCTACTTGTGGTGCTCGATGATGGAAGGAGCAAATGGATTTTCAGTTCTTAACCTTCCCAATACGTTCAGTACAAAGAGCATTTTGCGGTTCTGGGAAAACCAAAGTCACAATTCATTGCCTGCCTTTTGATTGGTATTTTAAAAGGTGGGGGGAAGAAATTCAAGCAGCCTTTGAATTTCAGGCAGTGGAAGAAAAAAATAAATTTAGCACTCTTATGTTGCCCAAGTTGTCCAAACATATTGGTTCCTGTATAGTAGCCTCCATAACTGTGTTTATCTTGATTGGTGTAATTCTCTTGGCTTCTTTTGAAATGGATTGTCCACAAAAATGAGGTATATTTTTAGCTTGCTGACCATAGCATGTGCACACTAAGGAGAAGTTCTTATTGCCCGTAGGACAGAAAAAGACAATACCAATCAATATTGTAGTAGTAAGTGTTAGTGTTGCCTCTAGCTGAGAACTGTGTTTCTGTATTTCTCGGTATTTTCCTCTGTTTTATTTGGGTTTAAATGTAGCTATCTGGTTTAAACTAGCTTTTGGATGTCATTAAGTGACGAGAAAAACACTGACTTTCTAGCATCAGTTACAGAATACTTGGAAACTTGCAACTTAGTCTATTAGGACAGACATCACTGAGAATTTTACTGAAAATCAAAATCTGTAATTCCTACTTTCTTAAGGAAGCAAGTACTCTTTATTCATCTTTACATATGTCTCAGGTCTATCTTTGTAGTATCTTTTTGCTTAAATTTCCTCATCTGTAGAGGTCAATAGGTCAGTTGCACTGACCTATTTCTTTGTTGGATTTTATATTGCAGTTAGAGCAACAGGGTGGTTGCCAAATACAAAATCCTGAATTCAGAGAGATGCATTTACTAGAAATCAACCATGCTGTGACTTATCAAAATCAAGAAATGTTCACCAATAGCATCCAAAACTTTGGATTAATCAGATAGAACACATGGAATTATACAGAATAACCAGAAATGCTGCTCAGTAAAAGCCAGTGATGCTCCTGCAACAACTGCAGAATGTCTGTGACAACAAGGTGAGATGCTGTTTCTCCCTCAAATGTCTGATTTTACTGCCTTAACAGGATTTATGGCTTAGTACAACAGCTGGAGTATCAAGTTTAAAGGTTCAGCATATAAGGTGATTGCTTTCCTTGCCCTGGTGAAAAATTTCTGATTTCTAGTTTTACAGGTATATGTCTGTTTATCTCACTTAATCAAATAAATGGAAATTAACTGAGAACCCAACTGCAACTCTGCTCATCTAATCCAAAATTAATTACTTAATAAAAGTACTATTTCTTAGCTATGCAAAGAGGCTTCCTTTATGTAACTATGATTTCACCAATATACACTTTTCTGAAATATTAAGACTTAATGCTTATCTGCAGGGTTTTTTAATTTCAAGTCAATCATTTGAAATGATGGTAAACAATCCACTGAACACAAAGCCCTGAATTACAGTGCAGTGATCTGTCAGGTCTGGCAGAATCATTAGACCTCACCTAATTCATTATAACAGCTCCTTTACTGTGGAGATGTAGAACTGGTATGCAACTATATGTGCAAATCTGATTCAGTACCTGGAAAAATTATGGAGAAGATCATGCTGGGTGCTATTGAAAGACATTTAAACAACAATGCAATCATCAGGCACAGTCAACATGGGTTCACGAAGGGAAAGTGCTGTTTAACTAATTTGATATCCTTCTATGATAAGCTCATCCGCCTAGTGAGTGAAGGGTTGGTGGTGGATATAGTTTTTCTGGGTTTTAGTAAGGTTTTTTGTACTGTCCCTCACAGCATCCTTCTGGACAAGTTGTCCAACTGTGAGATGAGCAGGTAGACGGTGTGCTGGGTGAGGAACTGGCTGAATGGCAGGGCTCAAAGGGTTGTAGTGAATGGGGCTACATCTGGCTGGCGACCGGTGACCAGCGGTGTTTCTCAGGGCTCAATTCTAGGGCCAGTTCTGTTCAATATATTTATCAATGATCTGGATGCAGGAGTTGAATGCACCATTAGCAAGTTTGCAGATGATACCAAACTGTGAGATGCTGTTGACTCTCTCGAGGGGCAAGAGGTCTTCCAGAGGGATCTAGATAGATTGGAGCATTGGGCTATCCTAAATGGCATGAAATTGAACAAGGCCAAACGCCAAATTCTGCACTTGGGACAGAGTAACACTGAGCACAAGTATAAGTTGGGAGAGGAGTGGCTGGAGAGCAGCCCTGCAGAAAGGGATCTGGGGGTGCTGGTTGACAGCAGGCTCAATGTGAGTCAGCAGTGCGCCCTGGCAGCCCAGAGGGCAAACTGCGTCCTGGGGGGCATCAAACACAGCGTAACCAGCCAGTCAAAAGAGGGGATTATCCCACTGTCGTGGTGTAACCCCAGCCAGCAACTAAGCACCACACAGCCACTCACTCACTCCCCCCACTGCCCAGTGGGATGGGGGAGAGAATCGGAAAAAAATTAAAACTCCTGGGTTGAGACAAGAACAGTTTAATAGAACAGAAAGAAAGAAACTAATAATGATAATAATAACAATAATAAAATTACAATACTAATAAAAGGATTGGAATACATAAAACAAGTGATGCACAATGCAATTGCTCACCACTTGCTGACCAATGCCCAGTTAGCTCCTGAGCAGCGATCCCCCCAGCCCCACTCCCCCCTGTTTATGTACTGGACATGACGTCCCATGGTATGGAATACCCCTTTGCCCAGTTTGGGTCAGCTGCCCTGGCTGTGTCCCCTCCCAAGTTCTTGTGCCCCTCCTGCATTCTTGCTGGCTGGGGGTAAGAAGCTGAAAAATCCTTGACTTACTTAGACTAAACACTACTTAGCAACAACTGAAAACATCCGTGTGTTATCAACATTCTTCTCATAGCGAACCCAAAACATAGCACTATACGAGCTACTAGGAAGACAATCAATCAACTCGATGCCAGCTGAAACCAGGACACCCACTGTATTCAGCAATGGTGCAGCCTCACCTTGAGTATTTTCTGCAGTTCTGGGCCCCACAATTTAAGAAGGATGTGGAGGTCCCTGAATGTGTCCAGAGGAGGGCAACAAAGCTGGTGAAAGGGCTGGAAGGACACTGGTCCTGTGAGGAGCAGCTGAGGACACTGGGCTGGTCTAGTTTGGAGAGAAGGAGGCTGAGGGGCGACCGCATTGCTCTCTACAGCTTCCTGAGGAGGGGAAGTGGAGAGGGAGCTGCTGATCTCTTCTCCTTGGGATCCAGTGATAGAACTCGTGGGAATGGTTCAAAGCTGCGCCAGGGGAGGTTCAGACTTGACATTAGGAAGCATTTCTTTACCAAGAGGGTGGTCAAACACTGGAACAGGCTTCCTAGAGAGGTGGTCGACGCCCCAAGCCTGTCAGTGTTCAAGAGGCATTTGGACAACGCCCTTAATAACATGCTTTAACTCTTGACAAGCCCTGAAGTGGTCAGGCAGTTGGACTTGATAATCGTTGTAGGTTTCTTCCAACTGAACTACTTCTATTCCATTCTGTTCTGTTCTGTTCTAATTTTTCTTCCTACCTCCTTCTTTCCCTAACAGTACATGCTGAGAAAATCTTTGATGACATTTCTTCCCAGCCCTACACGAGCAGAAGGGATTGAATGGGTAATCATGTCCCATCCTAGGCATTGGCTCTGTCACCTGGTGGGAAGGAGGCATGTACCTTCTGATGGGGTGAGAGCTGTGGATTGTCTTGAGATAATTTGAGTATCTGAACAAATTTGCAAAAAGCATGTGTGAACTGGGGTTTTTGAAAATATTCTGTGTTCATTCAGTTTAGCTGGGTTTCCATAGGATGGCAAAAGACCACATCTCTGACACTAGTGAGGCTCAAAGATCAAGCCCACAGTATGAAGCAGGATGTGCTCTGGAACAAAATGGTTGCAAATCTTTTTGATGTGAGCAATACCTGTTCATTCCCCCATTAGTTTTTTGGGGTTTTTTTCTTACACTCATTTTTAGAAATGCCTGAACTGTTTCCCTTGGAAAAACAGAACAAAACACAAGAGCCTGAGCACAACAGTACTCCATCAGAGCGAAGGTCCATCTGGCCCAATACTCTGTCTCCAAAGTGGCCAACCATAAATGTCTAAAGGAGAATAGACAAGCAGTGCAGCTCTGTCAGGGTCTGGGGGTGCTCACAGGCCTCAAAGGCTGGGACTGGCCTCCCCTGGGACCCCCACCCACACCACCTCCTGCCAAGAGCCCAGGGTCGTGTCTCAGCTCAGCCTGCAGCCTTCAGTCCCTGCCTGAGCCATGTTGTAGGTGTGCCCATCTCTCACCCTGTCTCCTGGATGGGCCTGGGACTGCACTGCAGATAGCCACTCGCCTGGATGGACCCCTCAGACCTCGGTCATAGCTTGTCATGCATAACTATGTGCATAACATAGCACAACTCTTCTCTTCTCTTCTCTTCCTTGCACTCACAATGAGTCCAATAATGATGAAACTGTTATTTGCCTGAAATGCCAGGGCTTTTTCAGCTCCAAAAACACTTTCAAGGACACACATCAGAAAAGTTACAAGTGGTAACAGGATTTTATTTTATTTTATTTTATTTAGTTTTGTTTTTTTTAATTTCATTTCATTTTGTTTCATTTCGTTTTATTCTATTTTTCTGAATCCGTTTCAGAGCCAATGCTCACAAGCATTAACACAATGTGCATGTGTAGCCAGGAGCAGGCTGATGTTCAGCTTCAGTCTAGCTTGAAAAAACATCCCTTGCAGTCTGGCAAAGGAAAGCCACAGAGCTACGGAAAGTAGCAGCAGGAGTACAGGCCAAGCAGTCCCTGTTTCCTGAAGAGTGAGAATTTGAAGAATGAGGATCGGTACCAATCATACACAAAAGAAGAGGAGGAGCGTGGCACCGTGGAGTATTTTCAAAAGTATGACACCAACTGATGACAACTGCACTTTTTTGCCTTCAAAAAATTCCTCTGCTGTGCTTCTTGGCCAGCAATGCACGAAAAGTGCTCTCGTGCCTGTCCGGCGCTTGTATTGCGTGCAGGGAGAGCTGGAAAGTGGCAGCTCCTGATGGTGCAGCCAGCCTGGAGCCCTTCCAAGGACAGGGGGTTTTGCATGAGCAAGAACACCTGGGGAAATGGAGCCAAGGGAAGAGCAGAGCTCGCTCCGCTACAAACTTACAATGGGAAAGAAAGCCAGAGCGAGCCAGGGCACTAGTGGTGCCTTGGTGGTGAAAGAGCAGCAGTGAAGAACCTAGCCAAAATGGCCCAGATGAGCCCTGACAAGGGGCTGTGCTCAGTGCTACAGGGGAAAAGATGAAAACCCCGGGGGCCACCCTTGGGGCCCGCCCTGGGACTCTAGAAAGCTTCCTCGCCCCGGATGCGGGGCACGAGGGCCACCTTTGTGGAGCATGAGCAGCAGGCACCTAGCCAAAATGGCCCAAAGGAGCCCTGACAAGGGGCTGCGCTCAGTGCTGCAGAGGAAGGCAAAAACCCCCCGGAGCCACTTGCTAGCCCACCGTGGGGTAAAAAAAGCCTTCCTCCCCCCAGCTGCAGGGCACAAGAGGTGCATGAGCAGCAGGCAGTAACCTAGCCAAAATGGACCAGAGGAGCCCTGACAAGTGGTCGTGCTCAGTGCTGCAGAGGAAGGCAAAAAACCCCCGGGGACCAGTGCCAATCTGCCCCGGGGGAAAATTCCTTCCTGACCCCAGAGCTGGCGATCGGCTGTTCCCTGAGCATGTGAGCAAGACCTGCTTCCTCATCCCACAGGCTGGTCACGCCTCCCAGGAGACACTAGCACTGCCCGTCACCTTTCCTCCCTCAACCTGGAGCCATCTCAGGGGCTTCCAAGAGTAGCAAAATGCCCCCAGCCTGATCGACCTTCGGGGGGCAAGAATCCTTCCTGTGCCTGGCAGGACACCAGCGGATGCTCCAAAGCACTGGGCCATCTGTGCATCCCATTTCTTACAGCTACTGCCACTGGCTCCGCAGGGGATGAGGATGGATGGTGAGCTCTTCAGTGCTCCTCGACTGCCAAGAATGCATTCCCTTGGTCTTGCCACCGCTATCCAGCTGAAAAAGCCTGAGACCCTCGGGCACCTCCAGGTGTTGGTGGGTCTTCTCATCTCCTGAGGAGCTTGCATCTGTTCTCCAAAGGCTGAAGCAGGATTTCCACCCATCAGATGAACTTTGAGTGTGGCCCCACCAGGAGCTGGAATTGCAGCAGAGAACCTCCAGCAGTCTCATCCAGCCTCAAGTCTTCCTCCGTCAGCCCCCTCCAAGTAATTCCACCAGCTGCTCAAGGAGTTCCTCTCGGATGTCTTCAGGCCGCCCCCAGGGCAGCTCTGTTCTGGTGGCGAAGCCGGGCAGACTGGCAGCAGGACATGGGAAGATGCCCCTTTTATCCTGCCCTGGGGCATTGTGACTGCTGCGTTGGTGGGTGGTGGCACTGTGATATCGGGGTGACAGGACCCCCTGCAGCCCCACCCAACACCCCTCCGCCCAGCATTTGGGGCGTTGGCTGCGAGGCAGTCCCTGTGCCCAAGAGGCCCAGGGGGCTGTCCCTGCCTTTGGTGGCCATGCGCTGGGCACGGCTGCTGTGTGTCCCTGTAAATTAATCTGTACGTTCAAACTATGTAAATAAGGGCATTTATACTATATACATTCAGTTGATAGTGGTGATGCCAGAGGTGAAAGGAAGGGTTTTGGTTCCCTCTGTGTGAACTTTGCAGAGACGTAGAGAGCGTGCAGGATTTCACCATTCCTTATCAATGCACCAAGTGACATTTGCTACTACACTGCTTATGGTAAGGTCTTCTTCTTGGAAAGAAGACCTGAATTGTTTTGTGTTCTTGACCATATTTTTCCTTGCCCTTCAATAGCTCTTTTCCTCCTTTGGCCTTCATCCTTGGTGTCTTTCTTGAAAGTGATGGCAGTTCTGTCAGCCTTTGTCTTGCTCCTTCTAGTCATCTTCTTCTGTAGGCCTTCCATGCCCCCCATCAACTGTTTAGTCTTTGTTTGCCTTCGTCCTAGATGGAATTTATCTTTCTTGAACCCGAGTAATGAGAAATGTCCATAGTGGTACAGGTGAGTTCTCACCAGGGCTTTGCACAATGCTTGCCTTTCCTGTGGAAAGGCTTGTAGCATTTAAGAAATCTCCTTTGCATTTGTTACAGAGGGCATTTAGAAATTTGCTGGTGTTTATTAACATTAATGTGTCCAGTTTGGGCGTTTACCTGTTGTATTATTACTTGAATGCAACACTTCACTGATGGCTGCTTAATTCCATGTTGTTGACAGATCAATGAAGCACTTTGATCCCAATGTGGTTTAAGCTGCATGGATTCAGCATGTTTTCCCTACAACACTTAGGAAAAACAAGTATCTGACTCAGTTGTGTAGAATAGTTTAAAAAACCTCAGCTAAGTATCACTGAAGGGTACTGTATAGAGGGTAGAGATTTAGAGATTGACAACAAATCACCTTGGCAAGTTTGTTCACGTCCTTGAAATGTAGAATGACTGTTGGTCTCTCTCCCATCAAGCTTATCTCTTCAGTGGTCTGTCAGGGTAAAAGGGAAAGTCACTGAGTTTGTTATTGGAGATGTTGCTGTAGGCTGCAGACCCCAGCTGGGTTCCTATCAGAAATGAGGACATTTTTTGTCTGTCTGAACAAGCTGTTCTTTTAGGCAAAACACCATTATTCACATTGAAAACAACAGTGGAAAATGCTACTGCCTCTGCTGACTCCTGGTACAAAATGAGCATAATCACCTCTTAGAACAACCAGGAAAAAATAATACACAGACATAACCACACACTATATATCTAATCTGTATCTATATTTATACCTCATCTATATCTAGCTACATATCTCTATATCTATACCTATCTCCTGGGTTAGTGCAAATAAACCCTCACATCACGGCAGTACTGGTAAGTCCAGTAGATGGCACGTGCTGAGGACAACAGTTCAAAACACCAGAGCTGCAGCCAAGGCAAAGTGAGACAAGCTGGAGGGAACTGCAGCAGCAATGCTGTTGCAAGAGCTGTTCATAACCAAAGGCAGGAAACAGAAACTGTGAAGGGACGGCTTGTTGCCAATTCATGCGATGTCCTGAGCTGGGTCCCTGAGATGTCCCCACTGAAAGGGAAAGGCGGGCTCTAGAAGGAAAGGATCAAGAAATAGTGACCTCCCTAGCCAGCAGAAGAGCCAGGCCATGGGGGAAAGGAGGCGACGGATTGAAATCTCTTCTCTGTGTTAGAGACACACATCACGTGCTTGGTAAAGGGCAATACTGACGAGTTTTGCTCTGCCAGGTGAAGGACTGGTGTCCTTTGGTGCTGGCTGGCATGTCCATTCATGGGCCCCAATGTCAGCCCTGTACCAACGGTCTCTTTACAGAAAGAGCAGCATTCACAGCCTGTAACACCCCAGGAGCTGCTAGAGCTCCTGTCACTGTCATAGTTACCCATGGTATCACATCACAAATATCAAAAGCAGGGATTTGCAGAGGTTTCTGTGGCATAGGCTACATTTCAGAGAGCTTTTCAGCTAATAGCCGTTTTCCTGACCACGCAAACCACCCCTCTTCTTAACATCCCTGCCAATATCTGTGTTACATTGATGCCATGCACTGATATATGAAGATATTGCATTAAATTACTACAAATAATCTCCTTTGTGATTGTTATAATTCACTGTTTTTACCTCTCAAGCTGGTGAGAAGTTGGGATACAAATATATCCTCTGCCTATATTCTTCCACCAAAAAACTCTACAGCAAGAACTAAAACAAGCTTGAAGCATATAAACTCTGAAGTATCATGGCATTGAAGGAAAATCACAAGCTTGTCAGCATTTAAATATATTATTACCAATCTCTTATGATGCTCCTTATTAGACCTTCCTGCTTGGAGGAATTCTGTGTACAGTGGTGAAACCCAATCCTGATCAGAGAGAAACTATTTCCCCTACAAGAGCATGTGTCCTGTGAAGCATCCAAAATGGATCAAACCAAGGAAAGTGAGCCTTGGAGGGTCTGAAGTTTCAGCTTGAGTAAACATGTAAAAAGTATAAACTCTTGCTTTAAATCTGCTGAGTGTGAAAAACTGAGCTGTGACTTGCAGGAGAAGTGTGCTCCTGTGAGACTTCCTCATTGTTCTCCCTTCAGGTAGAAATACTGTGAGAAACAATTTCAGAAGTTAAGCCCGAAAAGCAGTGTTCCAGTATGAAAAATGTTCATGCTTCAATATACGTGTTGTGTCTGTGAACAGCTGCCTCTATATACATCATCACAAAATATCAAACCACTGCAGAAAACAACAAATAAGGAATACATCTTTTACTGAGCATGAATGAAACTTATAGTTCTGCTTCATTAGGAGCAGGTTAGCTGATACTCAAAAATAATGAGAAGCATAACCAAAGTTGTCTTTCAGTCTGTAAAAATTCCCACAAATAAAGAGCTCTAACATGTTAAACCAATTCTGAGTCTTGGATCTCAGGCCCAAGAAAAACCTTCAGCCTAATGAAGAAGATGATGGAAAAAGAAGAGGCAGTGGCTCAGTGCCACAGTACACAGCAGAGGCATTAGCTGAAAGAGATCATTTCTGATTGAACACACTTAATCTAGAAATGATTGAGAAGCCAAAAAAAAAAAAAAATTACCACCATCTTCTTTTCACTATGATTTCCCAGAGCAGACATGTGCCTTTAGGTGTGTGAACAAATCCTCCTCATTTGGTTCTGGAATTTAAAATACCTTCAAGCTGCTAACAAGGTGGAGATTTGCTCATCTTCCATCCAAAGAGACATAATTTATCTTTGCTCTGGGTGGGCAATGGTGCTCCACTTACAATCTTGTGATACTACGTTGCATAAATTCTCCACATCATATCTTGAGATTAGAGCTATCTTCAGGATTATTTTATAAAAATACCTTGGATAAAATTAAGCAGTATCAGCGCATTTGTATCTTAGACAAGTTGGTGAGTGAGCCAACTAGGGAAGGCGCCCTGCTGGACCTGTTGTTTGAGAACAGAGAGGGACTTGTGGGTGATGTGGTGGTTGGAGGCTATCTTGGGCACAGCGATCACAAAATGATAGCGGTTTTGATTCTTGGAGAAGTAAGGAGAGGGGTCAGCAGAACTGCTACCTCGGACTTCCAGAGGGCAGACTTTGGCCTGTTTAGGAGCCTGGCTGACGGAGTCCCTTGCGAGGCAGTCCTGAAGGGCAGAGGAGTCCAGGAAGGCTGGACATTCTTCAGGAAGGAAATCTTGAAGGCGCAGGAGCAGGCCGTCCCTGTGTGCTGAGAGACAAGCTAACAGGGAAGGAGACCGGCCTGGCTGAACGGAGAGCTTTGGCTGGAGCTCAGGAAAAAGAAGAGTTTATGACCTTTCAAAGAAGGGGCAGGAGGACTCAGGAGGACTATGAGGATGTCGTGAGGCTATGGAGGGAAAAAATTAGAAGGGCCAAAGCCCAACTAGAACTTAATTTGGCTACTGCAATAAAAGACAATAAAATATGTTTCCACAAATACCTTCACAACAAAAGGAGTGCTAAGGAGAATCTCCATCCTTTATTGGATATGGGAGGAAACATAGTGACAAAGGCTGAGGAAAAGGCTGAGGCACTTAATGCCTTCTTTACCTCAGTCTTTAATTGTAAGACCAATTGTTCTCGCAGTACCCAGCCCCCTGAGCTGGAAGACAGGGACAGGGAGCAGAATGAAGCCCCCATAATCCCAGGGGAAATGGTTAGCGACCTGCTACACCACTTAGACACACACAAATATATGGGGCCAGATGGGATACTGAGGGAGCTGGTGGAGGTGCTCACAAGGCCACTTTCCATCATTTATCAGCAGTCCTGGCTGTCCAGGGAGGTCCCAGTTGACTGGAGGTTAGCAAATGTGACACCCATCTACAAGAAGGGCTGGAAGGAGGATCTGGGGAACTACAGGCCTGTCAGTCTGACCTCGGTGCCAGGGAGGGTTATGGAGCAGATCATCCTGAGTGCCATCACATGGCAAGTACAGGACAACCAGGTGATCAGGCCCAGTCAGCACAGGTTTATGAAAGGCAGGTCCTGCTTGACTAACCTGATCTTCTATGACATGGTGACCTGCTTAGTGGATGAGGGGAAAGGCTGGGGATGTTGTTTACCTGGACTTCAGTAAAGCCTTTGACACCATTCCTCGCAGCATTCTCCTTGAGAAACTGGCTGCTCATGGCTTGGACGAGCATACTCTTTGCTGGGTAAAACACTGGCTGGACGGCCGGGCCCAAAAAGTTGTGGTGCATGAAGTTAAATCCAGTTGGTGGCCGGTCACAAGTGGTGTTCCCCAGGGCTCAGTACTGGAGCCAGTTCTGTTTAATATCTTTATCAATGACTTGGATGACAGGATCAAGTGCACCCTCAGTAAGTTTGCAGATGACACCAAGTTGGGTGGGAGTGTTGATCTGCTCGAGGATAGGCTCTACAGAGGGATCTGGAGAGGCTGGATTGATGGGCCGAAGCCAGTTGTATGAGGTTCAACAAGGCTCAGTGCCGGGTCCTGCCCTTGGGTCACAGCAACCCCATGCAGTGCTACAGGCTTGGGGAAGAGTGGCTGGAAAGCTGCCTGGTGGAAAAGGACCTGGGGGTGCTGGTTGACAGCTGGCTGAATATGAGCCAGCAGTGTGCCCAGGTGGCCAAGAAGGCCAATGGCATCCTGGCCTGCATCAGACATAGTGTGGCCAGCAGGACTAGGGAAGTGATCATCCCCCTGCACTTGGCACTGGTCACAGCTTGAATCCTGTGTTCAGTTTTGGTCCCCTCTATACAAGAAAGACATTGAGGTGCTGGAG